AGGTTTCGCTTCTCATCCAAGAAGCTTCTTCAGTTCATCGGCATTATTGAAGAACTGAAGAAGCTTCTTGGATGAGAAGCGAAACGTCTTCAAGACAAAAAGAAAAAAAAAAGGTCCAGTTGCCTCTTGAAAAAAGCACCTTTGGGACAACAGCGACCTCAGAATTTCCGTAGGCATTTATTATCCGTGCAATTCAAACGTCGGGTTGGCTAATCCCAGTACAGAGAGTCCTCAATTTATGACTATAACTGAGCCTGCAATTTTGTGTCTTCAGTTAGGAGAGTCGCAAAGCAGCTCACCCTGCGTGTGTGCCTGATTTTACGACCCTTTTTTTGTCAGCAATTAATATGCAAAGCTATTGTCCGGTATTTTCAGCTCTTTCCCTGCTTAGCCTTTTGCCCGGTGCCTCGTTCGGCAGGCATCCCAACCTCTTTTGGCCTGTCCCTGTATACCTGTGGGGGGAAGAGCCGATCCACGCTGGAATCTCTCCCCACAGCTTGGGGCAGGGCCAGCTCTTGGCCTAAAAGAAGCTCCCGCCCGCAGGGGGCATCCAGGTCTGTGCAGGCGTCGATCTCATAATGCACGTACTTGCAGGTGTCCATGTGAAAACAGGTGTTGAGGAAGGAGCAGTCGCCTAGGGACTCGTCTGTGTGCTTGTTGATGATACGGCTAGGAGAGGAAAAATACAGTTATCCTCAAGCCATTGTGCCTTATTATTGTTATACATTTTATTAGATTGCTAGCTGTACCCGGCCACGCGTTGCTGTGGCTCAGTCTGGTTAAATTTATGTCCAACATATGGCGCTGTTTTTTTTAAAAAAAGCATGTTTTTACCTGTCACAGGTGTGACATCTATACAATAGTAGGTATATAAAAACTACCCCTCGTCTTCCTGGTGAGCTCCACTTCCCTGCTCCACAATTCAGGCAGAAATTAATAGACCTCGAGCTGCCTCCCAACACTCCAACCCCCTTCCCAGCCCCCCACCCCAAACTCACCGGAAGTGCAGTTTACGACAGGGGCGCTCAGCATCGCTGGCCTTCATGCACTCCTCCTTGGTTCCATAGTCGCAGAACTCCTGAACCTGTGCCCGCCCTCGCGAGCGGAACTTTTCCACGATGGACTGCTCCTTGGCCGTTGTCGTGTTCAGCAGCTCCAGAATTTCTTGACTCACCTGGAAAGGCCAGGAGGCGAAGAACCATGTTGGGGGAACAGGAGTAACCAAGAGAGGCTCAGGCTTTTTTTTTTTTTTTAAAAAAGAGAAAGCGAAGATCGGAGCCCCGATGAAAGTTTTTAAGAAGGGATTGGACAACCATTTGTCTGAAATGCTGTAGGGTTTCCTGCCTGAGCAAGGGGTTGGAGTAGAAGACCTCCAAGGTCCCTTCCAACTCTGTCATTCTATTCTATTCTATTCTATTCTATTCTATTCTATTCTATTCTATTCTATTCTATTCTTATTTCAATTAAGATTCTATTCTATTCTTATTTCAATTAAGATTCTATTCTATTCTATTCTAATTCTATTCTATTCTTATTTCAATTAAGATTCTATTCTATTCTATTCTTATTTCAATTAAGATTCTATTCTATTCTTATTTCAATTAAGATTCTATTCTATTCTTATTTCAATTAAGATTCATTCTATTCTATTATTTCAATTAAGATTCTATTCTATTCTTATTTCAATTAAGATTCTATTCTATTCTCTTATTTCAATTAAGATTCTATTCTATTCTATTCTATTCTCTTATTTCAATTAAGATTCTATTCTATTCTATTCTATTCTATTCTATTCTTATTCTATTCACATTTGGAGGTCAAATACAGGTAGTCTTCAACTTACAACCACAACTGAGCCTCCAATTTCTGTTACCAAGTGAGGCAATTATTAATTGCCCCATTTTACCTTTTTTTGCCACAGTTGTTAAGTGAATCACTGCAATCGGTCAGTGAATCATGAGGTGATTAAGTGAATTTGGCTTCCCCCATTAACTTGGCTTATCAGAAGTCAGCCGGGAAGGTTACAAACGGTGATCACGTGACCCCCAGGACAGTGCAACAGTCATACGTACATGCCAGTTGCCAAGCACCTGAATTTTGATCTCGTGACCCTGAGGATGCTGCAATGCTTGTAAGTGTGAAAACCGGTCACTTTTTTCAGTGCCGTTGTAAGGTCGAACGGTCATTAAACGAATGATTGTAAGCAGTGGTGGGGTTCAAATATGTGAACAACCGGTTCTCTGTGTGGATGCCGCTTCCGGAAGTCCATTCCGGGCCTGGGCAACAAAAAATTAGCTACCGGTTCTGCCGAAGTGGTGTGAACTGGCTGAATCCCACCACTGCCTTGATCTCAATTCTTCCTTCCTTCCTTCCTTCCTTCCTTCCTTCCTTCCTTCCTTCCTTCCTTCCTTCCTTCCTTC